TCTTGAATGGAAAGACATATTGGATGGACTGTAGGATGGTCAGAGCAAGGCTTGCTTGTCTCTTCCTTTTTTGAGCAAGAAAATTCAAAATGGCGCATGAGTAGTACATGCTTGGTTGGGCTTGATTTGGCAATGTTTGGAGTGCACAAAATGCGAATTCATGTGCATGAAATGAGAATAGGATAAATGTTGCAAGACTGAAGGTAACAACATGCCAAAATGTCCTATGATTCATGCTTTGAAAATTTGTTCAAACCATCATCTTTGAGCCATGGTATCTTGGTGCATAAAGCTTCTCTTGCTTAGAACTTGGGCTCTAATTAAAGAGTGCATGGTATGGAACAACTTTGATGTTGAATCCATCTTGATTTGCAACTTAGAAGACCATGGAAAATGATGTTGAAAATCATGTCATGCAAGCTGCCTAGAGATAACTTAGAAAAATTCTAAGTTATGAACTTTGAACCATTTGAGACCCTAACTTTGGACATTCATATCTTGAGCTTCAAAAATCCTATGAGAGACTTTTAGTAATGCATGGAAAGCTTGGAACAAGATCTACAACTTTCATGTAGGACCGAATTTCATTTGACAACAAGAACTTGGTGAAAATTGGCTTGGAAAGTTGGTTCAAAATTCTGCCCAAACTTGCTAATTTTGAGATCATTGAAAACCCTAACTTTGAACCATCATAACTTAAGCCTCAAGTATCATATGATGATGAATTAGTACTCAAAAGAAAGATTGGAATATGAGGAACAAGTTTGATGTTGGACAAAAGTTCATTGGAAACCTTGATCATGAAGAAAAATGGCTTAGAAAATGGCTGATTCACACATGAAACTTTTCATAAATGGAAAGGTTCTAAAACCCTAATTTTCCCAAAATGGTAAGTTTCAACATTTCTTGATTTTTCATGATTCCCTTAATATTTCTTGATCAAATATCACCCATTGGTCACATTGAACTTGAGGAATATGATCTTGACCTTAAAAAGTCAGGAGTTGACCTTTTCACTGTACAATTGACTTTTTCCCCAAATCTCTTGATTTGCAACTGACTGACCAATTGGAGCTCTTCTGATTGAAATTGATGATCAATCTTCTACCTCCAAACACCTTGGGACATATGAATGACCATGGAAACAAGTCTTGCTTCAAATACAAGTCTTGACTGATCATATGTGAAACCTTAATTTCATGTCCTTTGCCTAGCCCTTTGCAGATGAATTGAATGACCATTCTCACTCCACAATAGCCTCTGAGATATTCAACAAACCTTTACACCATGCTTACACCAATAATAGGACCTTATGAACTCTTGACAAATCCCCTGATGGTTCTCAAAATGAGCTATAACACACTTTTCCTCTCGAGGAGCTTGAACAACTTCATGATGATAACACACACTTGATGACCTCTACCAATGTCTTTGCTTGAGCTTGAAGCCAATAATATTCTCCTCTTGGATGGCACACAAACAATCACTTGATCCCATGTAAGAACTATGCTATGCAAATGCAAGATGCTAAAATGCAATGAAACATAAGCCAACATACAAGAAAAGGGGTTGGTCAAATTTTGGGGTACAACAGCCGACCCTCTGACTAAACGCTTGGGTAGAAAAATGATTTATGAATCATTGAAAGGAATGTGACTTAAGCCAATTTGAATACAGTAAATAATGGTAACCTAACATTTGTGATTGGAGATCCCATGAAGAAGGTTCATATGGGTAATAACAAGTTATTTACTAAACTAACAACACTACTGCCCCTTCCTACTTCAAAGTGTTAAGCTGCATTAGTAGAGGATAAACTTAAGAGATTTTAACGATTTCCATAGCCTTTATGAGTGGTATATGAAGTGCAACACATACTTGATGGAATAACCTATATGAGTGTCAAGTAGAGCAACTTGCATGTGATTTGATAAATCTTTAGAGCACTCATGAACACCAGGCACACACATGGCCGAATTGGCGCACAACGACGATGGCAATGAAAAATTATGAGGGTGCAATGATTGGTAAGGCCTCTAGCACACACCAAAGTGTACTGGTTCATAGAGCTTGCTCCATGAATTCACTTGTGTGTTAAGTCTTATTAGTCTAGGCTATAGTTCATAGCCCAAAAGGCACCAGACTCGAAAAATTACATTCTTGGAAATTACCCAAAAAATTTCTTCCATTCTTAAACCCTTTCTTTGGACCTTTGAATTATGTGGGGGATTGTTGGCAAATTAATGTATTTCAAAGTTCAACCTCCATCAGTGAAAGTTTAGTTCAAAACGTGACCCAAAATTTTACATGTGTCAGATTTTTGCACCGTCCACTTTGACTAAATCAATATGGTTTGCTGTGCTGCAACCCAAGTTATTAAAACTTGTTGTTTATCATTTATTTCCTTCCTTTACCTTGTTATTCACGAATTTTGTCTTATGAATAGTTAGCTTATTTCTCATGAAGATATACACAAAACACACCAGAAAATTATCTTTTTTTTTCTCTTCTTTGTTCATGAGCAATATATATTTGAGATTCTCGCTAGTTCTTGGATTCCTGGTTAATGCAGCTAGAAGGTGCTCTTTAATCATGAGGAGTGTTTAGGATAATACTAGAATAAAACTCTTAAGGACAGTGAACCTAATTCACAATTCAACTCAATTACTTTCCCTATTTTGCTTTGAGGTTTTGTTGGTGTTGAATTTGTTGTTGTTTTTGCTCTCTATATCCAACAATATTATAACTATATATCAAATTATTCATATTTCAAACAAAAAAATACAACTAAAAACATGTGTCACACTAATTAATCTAATTGGTGCATGCTCTCAAAATTGTATTTAGGCAACAAATTAATTGGTGCATGCATATAGAAAATTAAAATAAAAAATAATACACATTAATGTCAGATCAATTGATATATATATATATATATATATATATATATATATATATATATATATATATATATATATATATATATATATATATATATATATATATATATATATATATATATATATATATATATATATATATAATGATGATATATAGAAGTCAATTGATATGGAAAATGTTTTTTTTAAACACGAGTAATTTGATAAATAATTAGAAAAGATGGTTAGTTTGAAAATTAATTTTGAAAAAAAATTCTATCCTAGGACTGTTTTAAGATTTTTTATTTTTTTTTGGTGTGTAATTCTATGCGTAGATACAATTCTCCGGCCTAGAATAGGATCAGTAATTGTTAGAGCGTGACCTAGCTCACCCAATTTATTGGTACTCAATTAATTTGTTAGTAATATCTCAATTAATTCATGTGTAATGAACCAATAGCTGAAAATGGACGGAGAGATTACCATTATGCAATCGAATTGAGTCTCTATTGCTGAAAACGTAGTAGAATTTATGATGATATCGAAGCTTCTATGCTTTTGATTTTGTAATTCAACAACACTCTTCTCTCGTTCTACAAACAAACCCATTCCAGAACCTTCTCTCTCTAATCACTCACCGCCAACATTTTCGCCGTCCACATACTGTCATCGTCGCGGAGCCGAGAGAAAGGAAGCGCAGCAAAAGGTTCCGCCACGACGACGAGAAAAAAGTCCAGATCTAGGTTTTTACTCTTTCTGCTTATTCTGTTTTCGGTGTTTATAGCTTTTGTTAGTTTCGTAGTTTTGGTGATTTGTGTGTTGGTGAGTCACAGTAGTAGTAGCTTTTGGAAAATCACTGTTTGATTTCAGTGAATCCATCGTCATATCAAACATGCACTTCATATTAGTGATAGCTTCTGCTTTTAACTTGATTTTTTAACCTTATGGCATCAGGTCTCATACTTTTGCTTTTTCATTCCCAGGATCATACTAGTTGATAATAAGAATCAATTTAGTCACTAAACTATTAACCTATCTGCAATTTAGTCCATGAACTTTTTAAATACAATAAGTAGAGTAGTCAATAGTGGCGCTATCTCGCTATAGCGGAGGCCGGCCACAATGAAAAGATCCTAGAGTAAATAGCGGGATAGTGGAGCGGTATCTGATCCCCTATCCTTTTCCCCTTAAAAACACCAAATTACCCCTTAAATTTACAACGTTTTAAGGATAGTTTTTGATTTCAGACTCAACTTTAGCCTCCCTTCATAGTCGCTTATGCACTTCAAGAGTCACGTGTGCTTGGATTTATTAATATTTATTTTATGAGTTGAGTTATTTGTTTAATTTTACATCAAATATATGTTTATAATTATTATATGTAATTTGTCCAAAAAATGATCAAATAGAGTATATGCTATCTGACTTTTGGGGTCGGCCGTGCCGCGCCGCTATCCGAGAATGACTACTCTCATCATTAAAGAATATGAAATCCGTCAATTATGTTGAGTTGTTGGTGATTAAATAGATGGATTCCATATAGTACGGGGACTAGTTATTATATTTAGGCATTTTCAAAACTAAACTGGAAAGAGAGTGATAGTTTAGGGACTAAATTTATGGATAAGGATTGGAGCAAGTAATAATATTGATTTGAACATTTTACCTTTATGTAATCGAATTTTCTATTCCGTTCTGTATTGATTTGAACATTTTACCTTATGTAACCAAGTAATTATTTGATTTCTACAACTACCACAAATCACTAAGTGAATACATAATCGAATTTTCTGTTTCATTCTCTTGTTTTTTTTACGTTATTTATGATAATAAGCAAAGAAGCAAACTTATAGTTTAAGTAATATTGATTTGAACATTTTACCTTATGTATTCACTTGGTGAAAAGGAGAGATGTTTTCGTTGTTTGGATCAGGCCATTATGTATTCACTTAGTGATTTGTGGTAGTTGTAGAAATCAAATAATTAATTAGTTGACTATTCCATTGGATACTAAACATGATTGGTGTGCGTCTCTTGAGTGAATATTGGCCAAATTTTCACTATTTGAAACTTCATTTTTCCTTTTAAGAAATTGCTGGAAGAAGTGATAACACAACGCTGATGAATAGCAAGGGATCACTCAAGTCTTCAAGTTCTGAGTTGGATTTTGATCGACCCAACATCGAGGATTACCTCCCTTCTGGAGTTGCCATCCAACAAGAACCTCGCGGCAAGCTTCGCCTGTATGTCTTCTCTCTTCCATATTCTGTTTCTATTTTTATTTGGATAAGTGCCAAATAAAGAAGCAGTATTTTATTCACTTTATCTTTTTGATGTATGGTTTTTGGTTTGGTTGTGATTTTAATATTACTAGTTTTCTACTTTCTTCTGGATATTTTTTTCAGGCATGACTTGCTTGATATTTCTCCTACTTTGTCTGAGGCAGCCGGTGCTATTGTAGATGTAAACTTTTTCCCTCTTTTTTTTCATTGTTTTACTTTATTTGTGGTTTTGATGTGTCATAAATTATCTCTCAGTGCACCAGTTGTGATGACAATGTTGTATTGAGAACTTTATGTCAAACATATTAAGCTCTCCATTTTTAAAATTGTACACTTTTACTTCCACAAATATATCCTTATGTCTCGAATTTTCTGTTCCATACTCTTGTTTGTTTAGGTTATTTATGATAATAAGCAAAGAAGCAAACTTATATTTTAAAATCATAATATCAACAATACATTGTGTGTCTGTGTGTATATATGCAAATGGAATCCAATAGTTATTCTCCTGTTTTCTTATAAACTAAAACCTCTTTTATCGTCTTGTTTAAGCTTTGATGGTTACTCTTACTCACACATTCAGAACTTTTATGTTGGACCAGGATTCATTCACAAGATGCTTCAAGTCAAATCCTCCAGAACCATGGAATTGGAATATTTATTTGTTTCCTTTGTGGTGTTTTGGAGTTTTTATTCGATATTTGATAATATTCCCCATAAGGTTAGCTTGTTCCTGATACTATGCATTTTATTGTTACTATTAAGTTTGGCTGTTAGAGGGTCTGCTTAGCTGATTTCAGATTGTGTAATTATGCACTAAGTTTGACAATATATGAGGAAAACAACTTTTAGGACATGATTTGAAACTTGACTTTTCCACTATCTAATCCACCTTTTGCATTCAGCCGATTTGTCTTACTTTGTTGCTTTTCATTTTAACAAGTTCATTTATTGTCATCTTTTCTAATAAAATGATGCTATCATAATTGATCCTGCAGGGTTCTTGTGTTAACAATAGGATGGATAATATTTCTTTCTTCCTTTATCCCAGTGCACCTCCTATTGAAAGGACATGACAAGTTGAGGAGGAGTATTGAGGTGCATATTCAATTTATTCTTCATTCATTCCATTTTATGTTTTTGTTCAACATTGGTGTCGCTTCCCTTTTCTTACACACTATGACTCAAACTACTGTTAATGACTGTTTTAACAACATAAATTATAAAGCTTCTATTCAGGTTATTTTGAACCATAGTAAATTTCCGGGTTTTAGTTGTCTTGATGATAGTGATATTTAAGCTGTATGATACTCTTATATTGTTTCTTACCAACATGTATATATACCTCATGTTTATGTCGATAATTTGTTATCTGTTCGTGTACTAATGTGAGTATTGTTATGACTTCAAAGTTTTAGCTTAATTTGGTTTTAAGTGTCTTTATTCTCTTTAACGCCTTCTGTAATTTTTCCTTTGCTCGGTATTAATTCCAGCACATTAACCTTTTGTTCATCGAATTAAATGTATTTAAATTGTTAATTTCCTTCAGAGGTCTTTGGTAGAGATGATGTGCAGTTTCTTTGTTGCATCCTGGACTGGGGTTGTCAAGTATCATGGACCGAGGCCCAGCAGGCGACCAAAACAGGTTTGTCCAACACATGTTAATGTTGTTATATTTATCCTCATTTTCATATTCAGGTAATATCAATGTAATTAACCACTAATCGAGCTTTCCCTTCATTTTTTTACAGGTTTTTGTGGCCAATCACACTTCCATGATAGATTTCATCATCTTAGAACAGATGACTGCTTTTGCTGTTATTATGCAGAAACATCCTGGATGGGTTGGTAAGCATATAGAGCATGATTTGAATACACAGAACACATGTTTTCATCATGGATGAGGAGCTTTATGATCTAAGCATTTGTTGTTGGTGTTGTAGAAGTTAAAAGGTTTTATATAACAAGAGAAAGGAATCAATGCTTTGAATTATGACTTCAATTTTGTGTTGATTATACAAAATGCAAAGCACCAACCCTACTTCCCCAGAGCCTCCGCGTAGGGTGGGTTCTCTGCCCCTACGGGGACAGAGCAAAAGAAGTTTTGAGAATTCAAGGTCACGGCGAGACGAGCCGTTTTTCATTAACGATAGGTGTCAAGTGGAAGTGCAGTAATGTATGCAGCTGAGTCATCCTAACAGACCGATAGACTTGAACCTTGTTCCTACATGACCTAGTTAATTCGATCAGGCACTCGCCATCGATTTGTATTGTTCAACTCTTTGACAACATGAAAAAACCAAAACCTCTGTCCCCCACACCTTGAATACGTAGGGATGGAGTGCTCTCCTATTCCAACTTCCCCAGAGCCTCCGCGTAGGGTGGGTTCTCTGCCCCTACGGGCACGGAGCAAAAGAAGTTTTGAGAATTCAAGGTCACGGCGAGACGAGCCGTTTTTCATTAACGATAGGTGTCAAGTGGAAGTGCAGTAATGTATGCAGCTGAGTCATCCTAACAGACTGATAGACTTGAACCTTGTTCCTACATGACCTGGTCAATTTGATCAGGCACTCGCCATCTATTTGTATTGTTCAACTCTTTGACAACATGAAAAAACTAAAACCTCTGTCCCCCACACCTTGAATAGCACCTTGAATAGGTAGGGATGGAAGGGCAGAGGCCTTTGGTGTCCTCTCCAGTCAAGAATTAGGACCTCACACTCACAATGAAAAGTGTTAAGCTTTTTTTCATCCTACTAGCTCCTAATTCTAATCAAACAGGGAAAGAAATCATGGTTGAGAGATAGGATATATGATGAACAATCATGGTTGATTTAAAGAGTAGCTTTGTAATTTTGAGTTTTAATTTATTTTGGCTAAATTTATTTATGAATTTTATTAAAAGCATAGCTACTGTGCAGGACTGTTGCAAAGTACCATTTTGGAGAGTGTAGGATGTATCTGGTTCAATCGGTCAGAGGCGAAGGATCGAGAAATTGTGGCAAGAAAGTTAGTATATGTAAAGATATTAGAAAATATCTTGTTTCAAATTCTGTTTTACTTACATGGTTATGCATATTTAGATTGAGGGAACATGTCCAGGGAGCCGACAACAATCCTCTTCTCATATTTCCCGAGGGAACTTGTGTAAACAATCACTATACCGTCATGTTCAAGAAGGTGTGTGAATCGTTTGCAACTGCGGTCATTTTAAAATGCAGTAATGTTATCATATTAATGGAACAGCTTATTATGTTTTTATTCTTATGGTATTTTACACTCATTAGTTTCTCTTCTATTCATGTTCCTATTATCTTTATTGAAGCCTTGTAACTTTTAATGGTGTTTAGGGTGCATTTGAACTTGGCTGTACAGTTTGCCCGGTCGCAATCAAGTACAACAAAATTTTTGTCGATGCTTTTTGGAACAGTCGAAAGTAAGATGGCAGTGCTATAGTGGTTCATAGAGGGTTTATGGCTTTCTTCTGTCTGCAATCAACAATACTGATAACTTTTACTACATACATAGTTTAGTGTTGTAATAGAGATTCTGTATTTCATGCATTTGCAGGCAATCATTCACTACACATCTATTGCAGCTAATGACATCTTGGGCTGTTGTTTGTGATGTTTGGTACTTGGAGCCGCAAAATCTGAAGCCAGGAGAGACAGCCATCGAGTTTGCGGAAAGGTAAATAATCTTGACCCCAAATGTATAAAGAGAGGTCTACGTAAGCCTTTCTCTAACTGTTGATATTTTGTATTTTATTTTAATTGTGCAGGGTGAGAGACATAATCTCACATCGTGCTGGCCTTAAAATGGTTCCTTGGGATGGATATCTGAAGTATTCTCGTCCTAGCCCAAAGCATAGAGAAAGAAAGTAAGTTCATGTTCCTAACTTTTCTAGATGTCCACTGTACCATAATTTATTGCCTGCGACATAAATGTTATCATTTTTATGTTTTTTGGGTCACAGCATTTGCAAGAACAAGCCTATTTGTTAGTTGTATCAAATGTATTAATTGAACCTTTTTGTTTATGTCAAAATATGGTGTTAGTATTTAACAATATTTAATAGTCCTGCATTACAAATAGAATTTGTTAAATGCTATACTAATGATACACTCAATAAATGTGTATGTTGCAATATGCAACTAATGCTGTTTCTGTTGGTTAGAAATTTACATTCTACTGTCATGTGTGTCAAGATTCTTTGTTAATTATTGTGTCATGTTTTTGAGTATATTGGCTATCATTCATTTGCAGGCAACAGAACTTTGCTGAGTCGGTGCTGCGGCGCTTGGAAGAAAAATGACTTCTACCTTTTGTATATTTTTCTTATTTATGCCATTCTCCAAACATCTTTTCTTTCTTTTCTTTTTAATTTAATGTCACTATTTATGTTTAGATTCATCTTGTTATGCATACATAAAAACAAAAAGGTTGCCCAATAAATTTTGCTAGGATGATCATTTTCTTGGACAAATAAACGAGAGGAACTAGATTCATGCATGAATAATTTTGATGTGGTTCTGTATCCCAGCCTTTATTTAAAGGGATTAACAGTGTTCCCCTTTTGTAGTTATTATTATTATTATTATTATTATTTTTGTGAACTATTTATTCTTTGTATTTCTCCTATTAACTAAAAAAAAGTAACTATTTCTCCTATTAACTAATAAGAAAAATAATGATAGAACGAATGGTTAATAAGTATCTTATTCTAGGAAATTATTCTTTGCAAATTATGGATGCCTAATATTGGAAAGATTTACATGATTGTTTTGGAGCAAGAGGGGAGAAGTTAATTTCACTACTCTTGGGTAGTCAAAGGAGTATATAGGAAAGGAATTTCTTAATATATCCTAAATGATATTTATGCACCATGAAAAAAAATTAAAATGTCCTCTAGTTTTTATAGATACATTTTTGGCATACCCAATATACATACAACATATAAGTTAGGTTTTTTTAGATGTATCTCTGGAATTTTTTAAAAAATGTATTCATAATTGATCAATTCAATGGAAATTTGTAGAAATTTCAAAGATGTATATTCAGAATTTTGATTGGAATTTTGAAATTTGTTAGTCATGTTAGATATTTTCGAAAATGTACCTTCAAATAATATGATAAAATACACAATTGCATGATCACATAGTGATTGTTGTTTTTCTTTTCAAACTTTCACAAAAAATTCTTCTATCATCAATCCATGTTTTTACTCTAAACATCCAATCTTGAGTCTCATCGCACTAAAGGGAAAAAAAGTTAGAATTTCAGATAAAAATCATTTATTTTAAACTGCATTGCTCACATTAATTTTATTTTTATTTGAAAACAAGTGTTTTTTTTTTGGAAATGTATCTTCGAAATAAGTATCAGTTTTTTCGGAAATGCATCTCTGATATTAAAAAAATATAATTTATAAGGCTTCATTCAAAATGACCTATGTTGTGTATGTATTAAGTGTGTCTAGAGATACATTTTTAAAAATTGAAAAACATTTTAGTATTTTTGCGTGGTGCGTAAATAACATATATGGCGCATTAAGAAATTTCTTACCAAAAAAAAAGAAAAGAAATTAGTTAGATTGTTGTATTTTGTTGGTTTAAGGCTCAATTTCAGGACTAACATTGACTTAACATTAAATTAATTTGAACCAGTTGTATTTAAAAATCAAACGCAATCCTTATTAGTTTGATTTTGTTAGATATTTTTTGGTCATAATTTTTAGGTTGCTCTTCCCATCTTATGGAGTTATAATCTATTTTTAGGAAATTTAAAAATGTCTTTTAAAAAGATTAGAATCCGAACACATCTATTTAACAAAATTATGATTGTATCATAGAGGCATTTTAGTATCCCTAAAAGTAACATATATTATATGGTGCATTAAGAAATTTCTTATAAAAAAAAAAATAGTTTGATTGTTGTATTTTGTTGGTTTAAGGCTCAATCTCAGGATTAGCATTGACTTAACATTAAATTAATTTGATCCAGTTGTATTTAAAAATCAAACGCAATCCTTATTAGTTTGATTTGGTTAGATATTTTTTGGTCATAATTTTTAGGTTGCTCTTCCCATCTTATGGAGTTATAATTTATCTTTAAGAAATTTAAAAATGTCTTTCAACGTCTGAAGATTAGAATCCGAACACATCTATTTAACAAAATTATTATTGTATCATAGAGGCATTTTAGTATCCCTAAAAGTAACATATATTATATGGTGCATTAATACATTTTTTATAAAAAAAAAGGAAGAAAAATTAGTTAGATTGTTGAATTTTGTTGATTTAAGGCTCAATCTCAGGACTAGCATTGACTTAACATTCAATTAATTCGAACCAGTTATATTTAAAAATCAAACGCTATCCTTATTAGTTTGATTTGGTTAAATATTTTTTGATCATAATTTTTAGGTTGCTCTTCCCACCTTATGGAGTTATAATCTATCCTTAGGAAATTTAAAAATGTCTTTCAACGTCTGAAGATTAGAATCCGAACACATCTATTTAATAAAATTATGATTGTATAGAGACATTTTAGTATCCCTAAAATTTATCTTGAAATTATTCTCGGGATAAATTCAGGAGTGAAACAAAATTCAGATAAGTCTCAGACACTAAATTATTTGTTAGAAAGTTTCTTAAACATTTGAGATTTTATTTTAATAAACTTATAGTATATGTTATTTAATTAAATCGTTGACATTTGTCATTCAATTAAAATACTATATTAAGTTAAAATAGTGGTAAGGATGTTACCACAATACACTATTTGTTATCAAATGATCAAACATCATTGTTCTCAAGATACAAATCATAATACAAATTATTAAAATACTATGATCAAAATATAAAGAAAAAGTCAACTACTAGATATATCTAACCTCCGATTCTCCTCTGCCTCCTATATTGCAAGACATGTCGTGTCTTAGTTATATTGGACTGTATAGTGGCCATCCCACAGGTTCTCTCTCTCTCTCTCTCTCTCTCTCTCTCTCTCTCTCTCTCTCTCTCTCTCTCTCTCTCTCTCTCTCTCTCTCTCTCTCTCTCTCTCTCTCTCTCTCTCTCTCTCTCTCTCTCTCTCTCTCTCTCTCTCGTTAAACGATAGGTTACAATATAGACGGGGTGAATAGATCACAAATTTACAAACAAAACTTTTGGCAAAAATATTTTCAAAAGTTTAATGGCACAACGAAAACAACCCCAATCAAATTGTCCAACCGAACCTACTATCGAAAAGCTCGGATATGCGTAACGTAAACCAATTTGGATGATAATGAACATAAATTGTTCAAAAAAGATTAATTCACGAATCAATTAAATGCAAAGCTATTTGCAACACTTATTTCCATCAAACACAAATCAATTAAAATACTCAAGGGCAATTTATCAAACACTTTGTGTGCGATCGATAATGATTAGAAATTTAATTTGTTTTGTTGATGTTAAAAGTCAATCACAATCAAAGTGATTATGATTATATCAACAATAACACTTTAAAAGATAATTGAAAAACAATTTTCGATCAAATTGATCAAAACAACTATGAACTCGATAATTTGCAAGAACAATAATTATAGAAATAGAAAGATAGAGAGAGAGAGAGACACACACACAAAGATTTGTTTAGGCAATTTCTCAATTGACTTTGCTATGGCTACATCTTCCCCTAATTCGAAATCGAATTGAGATACTTGCAATTAATCTTATCTTTGCAAAAATGTTTATACAAGAGATGAAGAACTTTAACCCCACAAACCCTATGGTTTGTTGTTGATTCTATCACCTCCAAACCCTTGATTAAGTCATCAACAATGCTACTGCAATCCACCAGTTCTATCCACCAGTTCTTGACTACTTGCTTGCAAGACCTCCTCGTCTTCAACTTTTTTGCTCGGTCAGATTAATCCCTAGCACACATTTGTTGAACCCTAAATTCTCGAACACGATTCACCATTTCGTGCTACTCCCTTGGAAGGAACCACCTTGTCCTAAGGCCTTCAATCTTTCGAATTCGTGTTCGCGTGATCTTGTCCAGAACCTTCAAATCCCAATGATCTTGAAGGAAAACCCCAATTTGATTTCTTATTTGAAACACACAAAGATCCTAACCCAATATTCTCGGTAGCATAAACCTAATTGGACGTTATCGACCCTAATCTAGATGGTCACCAAATCAAAAAATGATTATGTGTAGTTTGATTGTGTGTATGCATAGAAGAAAGGTTGAAGATGATGGGAAAACTTTGTAATTCTTGTTTCATTTAGGTTTTACACTAGTACCTTGCTAGCACCTCGCTAGAATATGATGCATGTTTTTGCGCGCTTTTCGGGTGAATCGGGAAACCAAGCTATTGGATTAACTTGACTCGCAAATAAAAAACATCACCACCGGACTTTAATTTATCCAACGAAAGAGGTAAAGAAGGAATAACCCATAATCATGCAATGTGAAACAATGCAATGAGATCTAAAGTTTGGGGGTTGGTTGTACAAATGGAAGGTAATAACATCCTATGTATCTATAGTATCCTATAGGAACCTCTTAAAATATTTATGTTATTTGCTTAAATTATTTTCTATTTGATTGGGAGAATTGAATGTTTTGAGTGAGTGATAGGAGTGAGAAATGTTTTGTTGTAATATATATATGAAAAGGGGGTGAAAATAAAAAGGTGTGCTCGCTAGGATCTCGAAATCGTATGCCTACATATCCCTAGAGGAAGTCATAGCATTTGTAGTTTGAGGAACTACGGGTAAAAACAATGTTTTTTTGGTTTTTTAGGAGAAAAGACAAGTTGTCACCTTAAGAGGAACTGTTTAACTATACCACCACAAACATAAAAAAATAAAGAATCGATGCATAATAAGAGAAGAACTACAACTTGGATATAGAATCAACAAGTATGCCACTTACATAAATGAAAGAGTATCTCTGCACTATAATAAGAGAGGGACATCAACTTGGATATAGAATCGACAAGTAGGCCAGTTCCATCACTTAAATAAAAGTGAAAGTTTCAAAAGTTTGATTTATATTGTGAGGATATAAGAAGCATTTCTTCTATAGATATGACTCATGTATGATCTCTTGAGGAAGAGTTTTGAGTTTGAAGCCAAAGATGGCTAGGGTTTGATCAAAGTTGAATTTTTGAGAGGATCCTAATGTTTGAACTAAGTTTAAACAAAAGGGGAGGTTATGATAAACCTAAACACTAATGTCAAGAGAAACTTAACAGATAAAGCTTAGCAAGTATGAACAAGTAGAAAACAAGTGTGATTAAGCATGGTATCAAGACATGTG